ATAATAATAATAATAATAATAATAAAATAACAAATAAAATAAATAAAAACATCACATCCATAATTCTATTACATTCATGAGTGCTTAGCTATATTACTCTTACCTGTCCTATACAGTGTCCGCCGGCGAGAGTTGGATCATCTGGGAAGAGTACAATTAGTTGGATCATCTAAGAGTGGGAAGAGTACAATTAGTTGGATCATCTGTTTTATTACTTAGTCTGAGGTTTCAAAACATTTTCGTCCCGCAGCATGAACGAGCTGCGATTCTCGGAGACGAGTACCTGTGGTCGGGGGGCGTCGTGCCCTACATATTCGGCCCGTCAGTTGGTAGGTAAAGGGAGGGAGTCTCACACACACACACACACCTATGAGTGTGTGTGTGTGTGAGCACGTGCATGTATGCATGTATGTATATGTTTATGCACACCACACACACACACACACACACACACACACACACACACACACACACACACACACACACACACACACACACACACATATATATATATATATATATATATATATATATATATATATATGCATGTATATATAAATCTACATATATTCAGATATATAATATCTATATACAAATATGCTAACCTACATATAAATATGTATTATTTTCTTCCTTGCCCTTTTCAGATTCCTATCAGAAGAGCGTGATCCTGGCGGGGATGTCCGACTTCCACGACCGAACCTGCATCCGCTTCATTGAGCGAACCACCCAAGCAAACTACCTCGAGATCGTCACCAATGATAGCGGGTCAGTTTGTTTTGTTTTTTTCTAATGATATGTATTTACAATACAAGTCACGTGTTTATATCAGCTGGTCATGAAGCGTCATTTTCACCTAAAAAAAAATAATAATAATAACGCAGGAGTAATCGTGCATGGCCAATTCATTCAGGTGTTGGTCATACGTCGGCACCATCGGAGGCATGCAAAGGCTCTCTCTGGACACCAACGGCTGCATCTACAAGGGCACGGCCATCCACGAGCTCATGCACGCCATTGGCTTCTACCACGAGCACTGCCGCAACGACCGTGATGATTACGTGACAATCCACTACGAGAATGTTCAAGATGGTGAGGGCAGACACCAAACCAATTTAAACCTCAGAAACAGTTCGAAGAGACCTTGAGATTCTCACTAATTTTGAAGGCTTCTGGTTATAAAGTTTTATGGAGTCCTTGTTTAAAGTTTGCATGCCTCTGTTATCAAGTCTTGAGCCATTTCTGATCACAGGTCCCCATTAAATGCTGTTAAAATAAGCAAGTGCATCGCTAGTTTGTGAAGCGCATTTCGTGTGTGTATGAGGGTAGTTTGTATATATGCGCAGCCTCCTACATTGTAGCCGTCATTGTGTTAATTCCATCACCCTGAAATTCCAAGACGTTTCAAGTCCAGCAAGTGTATCAGGAAAGGCAGGACGCTTTGGGGCAATCTGTGCATCAGTATATGTATACTTACAGACGGCGAATGTACTGGTAACTGCATGTTTTGCTGGAAATTTATGATTTATTATGATTAGTACAGTTGATTACGAGGGAAGGGTTTCAGTTTGATCTGAATTTCATTAGATTTTTATTTTTTATTTCAATACAATTATTACCATGTTTTGTCTGTGCGAAATGTAGGCCACTGAACCGTAAACAGTCTGGCCGCCTCCAAAAGCATCCATAAATATACTCGTATGTCTTTATGCGCTTATCTACATGAACATTTAGCTGTGTTCTTGGTAATCATATTTTGTTCTTAGCTTCCTCTTTCCGCGAAAAAATGATTAAGCATTTCGCAACATCCATTCATCCGAAAATACTTTTTTGCTCATGAAATAAGTATACCGTTTGTATAGAAGAATGTACAGCGCACCTGGCTGTGTGTGGTATCTTAGTTTTAAGGATTTTATCAAAAGTTTTTAGCCAATTCTGTGGAAAAATAGATATTTGACGTTTGAAGATCCCTTTTCTATCTTCTAAGCAAATCAGGAATTTCGGCGTACTTTTAAAAGTCGCCTTTTTTATTCTGATATCACTAACTCGCCTATCCACCGCCAGGGTATGCGTACGCCTTTGACAAGGACACGTACTGGCGCTACGTCGGCGAAAACTACAACTATGCCAGCATCATGCACTACGGCACCTACGCTTTCTCCGTGAACTGGGGCGTCGCCGAAACCATCGTGCCCACGGACCCCAACGTCATTCTCGTGGAGGCCTACGACAAGGACCACATGGAGCAGAGTGACGCCAACCAGATCAACAACTTGTACGCCAGCGAGTGCGCGCGCAGGAAGTAAGACGGGTTGTTGGAAGGCAGTCTGAAATATATCATTTAATAGCTCTTTCTACGTTCATTACCCTTCAATTTTACAGTGCAATTGTTATCAGTCAATGGTTTATTATGCCCATTCGAAGTAAAGATTAACCCATTCTGAATTTCGTTTCTCGGGCATAAATTTTTAAAAAGGTTTACATCACATTACAGTGATGTGATAATAACAAAATATATGTATAACGATTCTTTATTTGGGTAAAGTTCTTAACAAATACATTAGTACCCATTAACATGAAAACGCATTTATTCAGATACTTTTGTTAAAAATGCAGCTCAAAAATACAACGATCCTGATTAAATCCCTCTATAATATCTTTATTTACAGAATGTTATCCACACACCGAAAAGTAGATTATGTTTTCCTTTCAGCGCTTTTCTAATATTGGAGAAAGGACTGTACTTATACTCTTATTATTTTTTCAAATTCATCGACAGTAATTAGACACTAATTACCATTGGGCGTAGGTATTGACCATAATCATACTACTACCACCACCACTACTACTGCTTCTATTTTTGCGGCTACTTCTTTTTCTTCTTGTTCTTCTCATACTACTACTACTATTACAACAACAACCACTACTACTACTACAACTATTACTACTGTAGTTACTACTACTACTTCCTCTTCTTCTTCTTCTACCACTACTACCACCACTACTACTACAACAACTACTACTACTACAACTACTACCACTACTACAACTACTACTGCTACTACTGCTGCTGCTGCTGCCGCTACTACTACTACAGTACTACTACTAATGCTAACACTATTACTACTACTACTTCTACCACTACCACCACCACTACTACTAATAATAATGATGCTGCTGCTGATAGTAATAGTAATAATAACAATGAAGATAATAATTAAAAAATTGATAATTCGTATCGATCGTGATGGGAACAATAATAATAAAATAACGATAATGGTGATGATGGTCTCAATAAATAATAATAATGATAATAATAATAATAATAACAATAATAATAATAATAATAATAATAATAATAGTAATGATCATGATCATGATCATGATAATGATAATGATAATGATAATGATAATAATATAATAATAATAATAATAATAATAATAATAACAATAATAATAGTATCAATTATTATGATAACAATGGTAATGATGATAATGATCATATCAAAAAATAATAAAAACAAAATAGCAGCAAAATGACTAACAATAATGATAATAATAAAAAGGCTATAACAATAATAATAATGATAAAAATAATAGTTTAACAATAACAATAATAATGATGATAATGATAATAATAACAATGACAAACTATTGATTGTAACAATAACAATAACATACTATCAATGGGGATGATGATAATATTGTTAATAATAATAATGATAATGGTAATGATAACAGTAATAACATCAACTATAATAATAATCACAATAACAGTAGTAATATTGATAATGATAATGATGATGATAATAATAATAACAATAACCGTAGTGCTAACAAAAATAAATGATTCGAGCAATAACAATAGTAAGAAAAGCAGCAGCAATAATAATTATTATTATCATAATCGTTATTACTACTAGTGGTATTCCTATCCTAACCATCGTCATCCCCGCCACAATCACCATCATCATTATCACTACTAACTTCATCACTATCATTATCATCACCACCATTATCACCACTATCATCATCGCCATCATTATCACCACCACTATCATCATCGCCATCATTATCACCACCACTATCATCATCGCCATCATTATCACCACCACTATCATTATCGCCATCATTATCATCACCACTATCATCATAACCACCACTATCTCCATCATTATCATCATTACCATCACCACCACCATTATCATCATTACCATCACCACCATCACCACTATCACCATTGTCATTACTGTTTACTTCATCATCATCACTACTATTGCACCAATAAAAAAAAACGTACAGGCGATTCTTCACTAAGAAAGACTCAAGAAATGGCCTAGGGTATGGGGGAAAGAGGATCAGAAATACACCTTTTAAAGTTTAATTTTAATGCGACATGTCTACGCTTCTTGCCTCTGTGTTAGAGAGAGAAAAAAGAAGGCAAACTGCAACATTACATTTGCTTAGGATGGAGAAAGAATATGTTACTGGTGAGAAGTTTTTCGTCTAATATAATTTGTATAGATGACACAGCACAAAATACGACCTAATGAAATTGTGGAATGTTAAAATTCGTATCAAAAACGTAAACCTCGACTAAAGTTCCATAAATACCTATGATATATACAGACAAGCAAATATACATACATACACATACACACATATATATACGCACATACATATATGTATATGTATATAACTATATGTATGTATGTATATGTATATAACTATATGCATATATGTATATGTATACGTACATATAAAGAGAGAGAGAGAGAGAGAGAGAGAGAGAGAGAGAGAGAGAGAGAGAAGAGAGAGAGAGAGAGAGAGAGAGAGAGAGAGAGAGAGAGAGAGAGAGAGAGAGAGAGAGAGAGAGAGAGAGACGTGTGTGTGTGTGTGTGTGTGTGTGTGTGTGTGTGTGTGTGTGTGTGTGTGTGTGTGTGTGTGTGTGTGTGTGTGGTGTGTGTGTGTGTGTGTGTGTGTGTGTGTGTGTGTGTTGTGTGTCGTGTGTGTGTTCGTGTGTCTGTGGTGTGTGTGTGCGTGTGCGTATGCGTGTGCGTGCGTGCGTGTGCGTGTGCGTGTGCGTGTGCGTGTGCGTGTGCGTGCGCGTGCGCGTGTGCGTGTGCGTGTGCATGTGTGTCTATACATATATTTATATATATATATATATATATATATATAATATATATATATATATATTATATATAGTATATATATATTTATATATATATATAATATATATATATATATATATATATATTATATATACTATATATATATATATATATATATATATGCATATAAATAAATGCAAAAACTAGTTCCTACTTCCCAATTTTCTGCTATAAAAGCTCATCATTATGGCACTAATGTATTTATTAACGTTTTAATCGTGTAGAGAAGTCATTCAAAATAATTTTGAGTAGGACTAAAATACATAGACACGAGCATCCTTCGGGAGATAGTATGCCTTCACATACATAACTAACCCATCTGTTATTCTTAAAAAAACAAATATATTTCATATATACAAATGGAACTGGTAGATAAACATTCATTCATAATAACACGATTAATAATAACAAACATTGACTTAAGAGAAGTCCTCTTCAAAAACTCATAACGTCATCACAATAGCAACAGTTCATATTCACTCATAACAATGACTTACAAGGACTAATGTTATCCGAAATTCGCATAATCTCTAGATTATGAATCCGTTTTTAGTCACAACAAGGAATGATTGCGAAACCTTCATAATAATAACGATCATATTATTAAACAACCAAGTTTTCACTCAATTTACATCTAGTTTCTGTATTGATACAGCTTTTGAAATTACTACAACCTCTATAAAATAAACATTTATCAGTAAAAAAATACACACATTAACCATTCGCAAGACCACACCACTCTTCACACTGCAGTCATCGACCGTGAAAAATAACGCGTTGAAAACTATCCTAACAAAACACAACGTATATTCGAAGTGGCGCTTTATTATGGACACCATTACACTACTACACGCCTCTGCAACAGCTTAAAACTAGACATTCACTTCCCGCGGAGTTTCCTCGTCGGCAATGCCCGTATAGCCAACGTATCTGGTTATGAATGTCCAGACAGGTGTAGCCAAGTACTTTAATTTCTGGCGATGGAAGTAGGCCACGGCTAGCAACAAAGAAGAAGTAAACACGAGCAAGAAGGACAGAGCGCCGATGGTTGCTGATGAGTAGCCAGTGATGTGGTGATCTCCATAATGGGTGTTGTGGAAATCTTCAAGTTCGCGTTCCGTGAAGACGTCGTCGCTGATACTAGTTTTGCTCTTGAACGAGGGACAAGTCAGCTGTTGCACCTGGAGAGAAGAAACTAATTTGTGTACTCATTTAACTGCACTTGTCAAACGTTCTTGAGTACGTTCTTAGTACGTCAACTAGTTTTGCTCTTGCACGATGACAAAGTCCCCGTATCAAAGGTGAAGGGTCCGAGGTGTTGCACCTGGAGAGAAGAAACTAATTTGTGTACTCATTTCAACACAAGGGTCATGGGTCTTAGAATGAGGTAGGTACTCCTCAACAGGTCATCTTAACAAAGAATTGCGCCGTTATGACACGAAGTCCCTACCTCCTGAAGGTGCTTCTCGATATTTGTTCTTGGATATCCATCAACGCATTTGTAGGTTGTGCTTCTCAACACATCTATCTCTGTTGAGTTTAGCCAATGAATGAAGGCCTTGGAGCGACAGTCACATACAAAGGGATTTTCTTCCATATTTATCTGCAGTACACTTCCTTTTTTATTGGAAAAGGCATCTAGTCTTGTCATTGCCTCGTCAGTAAGTCTGGAAAATAAAACATATATGAAATAATGTCTCAAATGTCGCAAAATTTCTTTGCTTTATATGTTTCGTCCGTCCATATACTTCTTATAGACTGAATTCGGTACTTACGGTTAATATCAGCACATCAAAATACCTTAAACTTAATTACACAATTTACAAAATCGTACCTGGAAATCATGTTCCTCTCTAAATCAAGATATCGCAATTCAGGAAGACAATCTATCCTGAAGTCGAAATCCACCAGTCTGTTGTCTCCCAGGAGGATCTGCTCTATTTTGGGAAGCTGGCAGAACACCTTTTGGTTTCTCCCGATTGACCAGATCTCGTTTTGTTCCAAGTGAAGAACTCTCAGTTCTCTGCAGGAAACATAAAGTAGTATATATGCAAAAGTTTTGATTTTTCTGTTGCAGCTGTTATAATAAAAGACTGGTAAATCATTTTTTCCATATGCTACAGCGAATAACACATAAAAAGATCAAATCCTTACGTCAATTTGCTCTCGTAGAAAATGTCTTCCAGGCTAAGAAGATAATCAGATGCGTTAATCCTCTCCGTAAAGGCGTTGGTGAGATGCAGACGTTCTAATCCCTCAAAGTTGCTGAAAATCCTGGGCCGCTCTTTGTCGTCCGTGATCTCGAGGTCATTATGGTCCAGGACCAAAGTTGTCACGGTATAGACCTGAAAATAGCAGAGTTTATCATACATTTATACAATTAATGTACTACCTATCTTCATACCCTTACCAATACCATCCTACTACTGTAATGATGTTGACGTATAGCACCTAATGATTAATTCACCCCCCCTCTACCCTATCTACTATACCTTCCTATTAATATAAGGTTATGCCACAAATATGAATTCCGGTTTCACAAAAACAAGTGTAGAGCATCACGATTTATTCAAGCATATAAAATCACAGACATAGTTGCTCAAGCTGAATAAAATGTCGGGGAAACGCCTAGTTTTCAAGATACCACTGAATCATAAATGAAGAAGCAGTATAGCTACAAACTGTTCTAAAGAGCAAGAGCTATGGAAGTGACGATAGGAGAAAATGGAACAAAGGCACATTGAATAAAACCTCATGAACAAACCAGAATTAATCGAGACACGCATTCCACCCCCTGGACACCATTAAGGAGCTTTGATAAATGTAGTATGACCCAAATAATGTCCGGCTCAAAATCTTTCACTGAGCCGAGCCTTAAAGAAACAGGGTGCATGATCTACAAGTATATAAATAATAATGAAAAAGATCTTGATTACAAAAACGGAAATGAAAATCATTACTTTTTACACAAGGTTGGATTCGAACTGTTAAAACTTCTGGAATCCAATAGGCAGATGAAAGTTCCAGTCAAAGAGAAATTTTGGGAGGAAGAGATGAGAAAGGAGAAAGCGAGAGAGAAAGGAGAAAGAGAGAGAGGAGGGTAAAAAGAGGAGGAGAGAGGAGAGAGGGAGGAGAGGAGAGGAGAGAGAGAGAGAGAGAGAGAGAGAGAGAGAGAGAGAGAGAGAGAGAGAGAGAGAGAGAGAGAGAGAGAGAGAGAGAGAGAAGAGAGAGAGAGAGAGAAGAGAGAGAGAGAGAGAGAGAGAGAGAGAGAGAGAGAGAGAGAGAGAGAGAGAGAGAGAGAGAGAGAGAGAGAGAGAGAGAGAGAGAGAGAGAGAGAGAGAGAGAGAGAGACAGAGACAAACAGACAGAGCAAGACAAAGACAGAGCCAGAGAGACCAGAAAACGAAACAACAAGCCACAGAAACAACCTAGCGCCGTTCGAAAGTCGTACCTTATGGAAAGTCTTGCCCTGGATGAAGCGGATGTTGTTATTGGACATATCGATGGCGTCCAGATCACTGTAGTCCTTCAAGTTGTCCAGGACATTGGCAGGGAGTTCCGGCACGTAATTCCCGGTGAAGATGAGCACCTCCGTACTGCAGGACAAGAAGTCAATTTATTCTCTTGGTCTGCGTGTGGCATGGACTTTCCGCGTAAGTATTTGCAGACACTTATTCATTCAGTCACTCACCAATTATTTCGTTCATTTTCTCTTTCACTCACCGACTCACTTACTCGCTCACTCACTCACTCACTCACCTATTTACTCCTTTACTCTTTCACTAGCTCGCACGCTCGCTCACTCACCCACATTGCCAAGAAATAAGTAACTAAAAGAAGTTTACTATTTACATGCATAAACAGACATACATACGCATATATAAAAACGCGCGCACGCACACACACAGGCACACGCACGCAAGCACACACACACACATAAATGTGTACATATATATTTATATATACATCTATATATACATATGTATGTGTGTGTGTGCGTGCGCGTGTGTGTGTGTGTGTGTGTGTGTGTGTGTGTGTGTGTGTGTGTGTGTGTGTGTGTTGTGTGTGTGTGTGTGTGTGTGTGTGTGTATGTGTGTATGTGTGTGTGTGCGCGTGTGCATATACGTGTGCGTTTGCGTGTGCGTGTGCGTGTGCGTGTGCGTGTATCTGTATATATGTATCTGTACGTATGTATATGTATATGTAGGCCTATATGAATATGCATGTATACGAATGTGTATGTATACGAATGTGTATGTATATATGTATATATGTATGTATGTATATATGTTATATGTGTAATATGTATATTATATATGTATATATATATATATATATATAATATATACATATTATATTATATATTATATATATATATATATATATACATACCTATATATATACACATATATATACATATATTTATTGTGTACATATATAATACATATATACACACACACACACACACACACACACACACACACACATACACATATATATATATATATATATATATATATATATATATATATATATATATATATACTATGGAAAGTAAGTTACCAAGTTATATGTGAGCCAAAGTTGTCAAAAGCGAGGACTTACTCTTCTGGTAATTCGTGAAGCATGTCCGTCGTCGAGAATCCCGTGTTTGTGCAGTTGACGGTGTATCTTTTATCTTTGAAGCTGTCGTAGCGCGAATAAGCCAGGCCGCAGTGGCACTTCCCGCGGAAGCTCACGGGACAGCCTGTGGCGTCCGTCGCAGCCATACAAAGGCCGCTCATGACAGCCGTCGCCAAGATCACGACCAGCATCTTCCCTAGCACCTGCGGGAGAAGACACGCTCAACTTACACTCCCGAAATCAATGTTTATGCCCTGGCTGCCTGAAAACCGTTATTCTTATCACGCTCGCAAATCCACGTAGGCCTAGCTGCCGTTTTCATTAAGGTCATTTTATTTTGTTAGGAATCATTTGAATGTGGCAGTTACTACATCACGAATGTTGGCGACAATATCCCTGGCCTTTTCTGAAAATGTCACGATCCTTGGTAATTCCCGCTGCTTTGTCCGCCTTCCCCCTGAACCGTGTCATGAACTGGCACGGCAGGTGCCCTATGCTTTGACCTCGTTTACCACAGGTGACTTGACCTTTCTGGTACGGAACAAACTGTAAATTTCACTTTTGGGAGAGGTGTGCCCATACGTGATTTGCATGAAATCAAATACATTCCAGTGTGAATAGAAGGAAAACATTCACGAAACATAACTGATTTTGTCACTTTCATGCTCACTCCAAGTTTTTTTTTTTTTTTTTTTTACTAATACCGTAAGACATTGCAATCTCAATGTCTAAGGCAAGTATGGGAATGCGTTTTATGCAATTTCGGCAATATCTTTTTTAATACACATCCCTCTAAGATACTGTCACTCTTGTCGACGTACAAAGAACCTCTACGATTATCACTGAGTTATCCCGCAGAGATGGCGATGAAAACGATTTCCTCTCTTCGCTGGCAATACTGGCCCTATTTCCGGCGCGAAACCGGAAATATGAAGTGCAAGTGAACATGACGATGATTCTCCACTCTTTGTCGCACATTTCGACCTGATTGAAAATGCATTCGATCTCTGTACTATTTCATTTGGGAATAAAAGAAAATCAAAATAAACAACAAAAGTGTTTCTTTCATGCGTGAATTGAATTGGAAGATAGTGATGTAAAGATTTCAGATAAAAAGATAACTCCAAAGACGAAACGTGCTGAGGAATACTGACATGAAGGTAAATCATATCATGCGGTATGTTGTTGCAAGAAAGCGCAACTCCCAACTGCCTTGACGCAAGAAGTCATATAAGTATTTAAATGAATTGCCTTGGCAACACACTAATGTGTGGTTTTGGCTAACTTGTCGATAATTTAAAGGTCCAAGTTAATGCAGTCACGCATAAGCGACGTAGCCCAGGTTCCTCTCCACCCTGTATTCAACGCCCCTTGGCTTCTCGCTCCGCACTACCGTTTGCAGGTAAGCAGCCACACCTGTCACCTTTGTATTCATGACCCCTCCTCCCACATCACTAAACGGAATCAATGGTAAAGGCGACCTTGACTGTTTTTCGTGCTTATGTTTTCTAAGAAAGGATTTTTTCTTATAACGCTTTGGTCCCAACAACAAGCATATATCCATTCCCCATATATCGGGTTGGGCCGTCTTGGTGACTCAGGGCAGGTCGGGATAGAGGTGACTGGGGGAGGGGCCGGGAGGACGGGGGGGTCACACTTACGGGAGCTTGGTATGCGAAGCGACGTCTTGTACTCTGCTTGCTCTGGCCGCTGTCCGATCGTTGTTCCGTATCTTATCAATCTCTCACTTATCTTCACGTCCCTATTTTATACTTGAAAGGCAATTCGATCTTGATAAGGTATGATCTGAAGAATCGCCGTCGGAAAGTGATCCGTTAATTGACGACATGGCACCTATGTCATTTCTCTGAACATTTCACACTTTCCAGAATATTTTGTATCCTAAAACATAAACAACTTCGATATTGTTCGACCTTGCCAACACATGCATTTCTGACCGTTCGTAGGTTAGCGACAGTACAGTAAAATGAATAAACTTCCATTCAAAACTTTTGGGAATTATTCAAGCCCTGATCGAAAACTCCTACACCCTCCCTTCTCGTTGTCATCGATCAACAGGTAGAGAGCCGAGCAAAACTCTTGCCCAAAGAATAATATTACCGAAGTGTAACATGAAATCGTGTTAATGCCGAAAACAGCGTGAATTTAGGGCAAGCTCCAAGTACCACAGCAACGCCTGAAATGCAAACATAACTAACACTGCTTTTTAACACGGCCAGAAGCATTCTGTTACCCCCTGTAGAGATTTCGACGCTTTTGCCTACACTTCTAAAATGTCTACATAGATGAGATCATTACAATGACATATCTCCGTTTGCTTTAATGAAAGCTACAAAACTTGCTTCGCATTGGCTTAAAATACAATATACCTGCAAGTTAGGTATTAAAACATAACAGAGAGGCAATAATATCCAGGTTCACCTGCGAAATTTTCCTTATACACTATACTTACAATTGTGTTTCCTTTTTATTTTTTCCAGTTCAGGGGCACTTGTGTTATTTGATATTACTTCTTACAACATCTTACCATTTTGGAGATGTAGATTTGCAATAGATATCCTCACAGGAGTCACGCTATACCATCCTTTCCCACCACAGTCAGGCGGACACTGAGGCTGTCTGGGAGGCTGGGTGTGGGGGTGGGTGCTGGCTCGTCTTACTTCCCGTTTTCTGAGTACAGAAGGAGCTCGATATTTAAAGGTAGACTCTCCTAAAGTACAGAACTAGAGAACTTTGTGGATGTTAGTAAATGTTTCGAATATTTTTTTTATAAGTATTCGTTCTAGATTAAAAAAACAACATTGTGAAATATGAAATAACATTCTGTTTCAAAAAGTATGAATCGTTCCAGGTATCGGAACAGTTCTAGGAGTGAGCATAGTCAACACAAAGTCTTGATCCTCAGATAGAAAAGTTATAATCCAAGAGCTTTATCACAGTTTCTGATTGTATCAGAAAATCTAGGCCAACTTGACAGGATATGATAAGCCTCTAGTAATGTTAGAAATAAATCTTATACCAGGGATGAGCGATGAACATTTTTAAAAGTTACTACATATTCTTCCAGCGTATGTAATATATCAAAGAGTAACATTATATACATTGCAGAACAGGTGGAAATGTATGCTTCTAAAAAGAAAGCTAGAAAGGGAATAAATATACATTTTTCACGCATGTAAGATGATGCAACTTCATAATAAAACAGTTATCGTAGTTAACTATATCTGCGCAAGTCAGAACGAAAAGAAAAGATAATTGCATGCATATATATATATATTATATATATATATATAATATATATATATATATATATATATATATATACATATATATATACATTATAATATACATATTCATATACAGTCAATCATATAGATATCTAAAAATTAATTAAGGAGAAATACACCTGATAAATCAGGTTGTAACCTCACGTGACCTACACGAAGAACGTTCCTCAAAATAAATAGATAGTTTATGATCATAGTTATCATTATAATCAATATTATCATTATTGTAGTAGTAGTTGATCAACATTATTGTCGTATTATTATCATTATCATCATCAATATTTCATCATTATTATTATCACTATTACTATCATTAGTATTATCATTATTGCTATCATTAGTATCACTATTAACATCATTATCACTATCAGTATTGTCACTATTATTATCACAATTATCATAATTATTATTGTTACTATTATCATATCTATCATCACTATTATTACCATTACAATTATTATCATTATCATTACTACCATCGTTTTCATCAATATCATCATCATTATCATTACTATTAGTAGTAGTAGTAACAGCAGTAATAGTTAGTAGCATGACTGTAGTAGCAGCATTATTCGTATTACCAGTGTTATTATTACCATCACTGTCATCATCAAAATAATAATGATAGGATGATAATGATGATGATAATAATAATAATTATTATTATCATTATGAGGATGAGGATGATAATAATATTGATAATGATGATGATAATATTATTATTAATAATAGTAACAGTAACAATAAAAATAACAACAGCAACAATAATAATAATAATGATAATAACAACAACAATCATACCATAATCATAATGATGATAATAATAATCATCAGTCTTATCATCGTAATAGTATTAACTATGATAACAGTAACAATAGTAATCAACATAACAGTAATAAAACACAATAGTAATAAGAGTGAAAATAATAATAACAATAACAACTGATATATTTCAGGAATGCCGTAAGGTCGCAGTCACGTGTAACTACCTTTGGAATGCGACGTAATGTGCGGACGAACGATGGTGAGGGTAAGGGTAAGGTCAATGATAATGATGATGATGATGATGATGATGATGATGATAATAATTATAATAATGATAATAATTGTAATAATGAAAATTATGATAATAATATTAGTAATAATAACTATAATGATAATAATAACAATTACTACTATTATTATTATTATTATTATTATTATTATTATTATTATTATTATTATTATTATTATTATTATTATTATTATTATATTATAACCATAATAATAATAACAATAATGATAATTCTAACAATAATGATAATTCTAACAATAATGATAATTCTAACAATAATAATAATAATAATAATAATAATAATGATATGATAATAATAAAAACAATGATAATAATAGTAATAATAATACAACAACAACAATAATAATAATACAACAACAACAATAATAATAACAACAACAACAATAATGATAATAATAATAATAATAATAATAATAATAATAATAATAATAATAATAATAATAACAACAATAACAATAACAACAATAATCAATCATAATCATCATAATCATCATGATAATAATAATCATCATCATCATCAATCATAATCATAAAATAAATCATAATAATAAATATAATAATAATAATAATAATAATAATAATAATACGAAGATGAAGAATAAAAGTGATTATGATATTGATGATGATAAATAATAATGATAATAACAACAACAATAATAATCATAATCATAACAATAACAATAATAATAATATTAATAATAATAATAATAATAATAATAATAATAATAATAATAATAATAATAATAATAATAATAATAATATGATGATGATGATGATGATGATGATGAATGATTATGTTATTGATGATGATAAACAACAA